CGGGAGCGCCGCCGCGCTTCCCAAGCGACGCACTATCCAGTGCGCCACCGGGCCGGCCCTGGAACTTGGCCTTTTTTAACCTCTATGTCTGTACGTGCCTTCACCATTTCCTCCCCCTCCCCCAATCCCTGTCCTGTGTCTCCGTCTCTCTTTCTTACTTTTCTTAATGAAATTCTACCATCATTTTAGCTCCAGATAAGATGTACCCTCTCCCTCCTGAAATTCCCAAGACCCCTGTCTTTTATAGTAATCAGTCATATAGGCCATGCTCATTCAACAAACATGTAACCTCTTCCTTTTCCAGCTTCCTTTTACGCTGCCTTATTCTGTTATTTCCTGGGTATGAGCCTACTACCCCAAGAAGACCAGGGCCACAGTTTATGTTTTCGCCCCTGCGCCATGCCTTGCATAAAGTAGGTGCTTGGTAACTGTGCAGATATTCTCTCACACATGGCCTTGCGGAGCTGTGTGCTTTCTCAGTAGACAAGCTTAGCACTTCCCAACTCTGCAGGTACCTCTCCTATTGCTTATACTTCCAACTGGGCCTTGGGTTTGGACCCAGCCACCCACATTTGTCCCACTTCTGTCTCTCGGATCCACTGATCCCCTCAATGGCATGCTTAGGCATGCTCCAGCGTTGAGTGATTCAGACCAAGCCTGGACATGTTGGGAAACAGAGCATGTGTACGGGGTTGTTACAAGACTTCTGGGAGTGAGGCAGGCTTGTGAGGCTAGCTGTGTGACCTTTGGTAAGTACATTAACCATGCAGTCTGTTTCCTCACCTGAAAACCAGGGGTGACGATGAGGCCGGCCTCCCTGGGTGGTTCGGAGGATCATGTGTGATGATGCCCGGGAAGCGCCTGGCAGGAGGCCTGGCATACAGTCAGTGTAGCTCCAGTGATGGTGGTAGTGGTGTGACACACACAGGGGAACCGGGGCCCCCTGCCACCTCTCCCCTGGCTCTTGCTCAGTTTGTCAGTTCCCTTTGCCTGGAGCATTCCTCCATGGTTCTGATCAGCTGCTCTGTGACACAAGCAAGAGCATCAGGATATCTGTGGAGATCCCAAAGACTTTGCTTTCTCTGCCATTCTCTTTCTGGGACTGGATCATGCCCTGTTCCTTAGATCAGCTACCATAGGCTGGATCCTGCCAAGTGAGGACAAATCACTTAAGCTCAACCCCATCAGACACTTGTTGGACATCACTGATGTTACCTCCCATACCTTCAGGTGAGCCAGAGGTGGGCCCACATCTGGCTGTTCACCATTCCCCACCCCTGCCAACCATTTCTGCAGTGCCCACTGGCTGCCCCCTCCAGCCGCTGAGGCTGGGGTAGCTCCCTCCCCCCATTCTGTGGTCCTCTCTCATGCCTCATTCCTCAGCAATCCATCATTTTTCAGCCTCCCTTCCCCTTTACTCACTTTCTCCTCCCTGCCAAAAAATCACATTGGAGAAGCTTGTCTGCAAGGGTTCCATTCAACTTGTTCTGCATTAATGCTCCACTATGGTGACCCACTGCTGAGTCTTTCACTTGTAATGTAATCTAATAATTTACATGCACTTTGCAAGCAATACTCTCAGAGACTAACAACCTGTTTGAAATTGCTCTGCTGTTACAGTGTTTGAGCTGATGAGAGAGCAGTGTGAGAAAGAGTACTTACTGGTATCACAATGGCATTGGATAAACCCAGGAAAATATTGTTAGCACAAGGTGCTGATGGATTATAATACCCTTTCTTAGAGAATCAATTAAACCTGCTAAAGATCTTTTATTGGTTTGGGCTGTAATTGGGCTAGGGTAGGTCAAAGTATAGAAGGGATAGAGACATAGCAAGCGAGAGGAAGTGAACCAAGAGTGGACTCCTATCTTCCTGGGATGCTGTGAAAATGTTTTCGTTTTGATATACTACATGATTTTTACAGAATTAATTGGCACTGTGATTAGGTTGTTTTATTTCTTCACTCAAACATGTTGGGAGCTGATTCTAATATGCAGTATAATGAAGATAGAGTGATGCTATAATAATAGTGCCATTGTAAAGTGAATTATATCATTAAATATCTATTTTGTCCCATTTGTATTGTGATAGTGATACACACAGAGAGACTTAGAGTAGCTGGTCCTTAAGAAACAGACTCTAGCAAAGAAGGAAAGCTCCAATCCTATAATATTGAATAGTCAGTGAATGAAAATAAACCATTGGTTCAGTGGGAAAGTGAATTTTTATTTCTGTAAATGTATATATACACATACACACACA